AAGTGAGAGTAAGAACTGCAAAACATTAGTAGCTTGTTCCCTAACAATGGACTATATCCCTTTCATTTCAGCAGAACTTCCACGTCACCAATCAGCACCTAGATCCACATCTGAACATCCCTGAGAAGATGTAACCTCTCATACCTGCCATCAGTAAACCACCTACATATATCCTTAATCTCTTCTCCAAATAGTCTCTTTGCCTTCTTGTTCCAACTGAAACTCAGTTGTTTGCTAAAAGCCCCCTACTTCTCCTTGTAGACCTTGGATGTGACAGCTGATCACCCCTTTCTCACTGCATTTAGACCATTTCTCCTTCCTTCTGGAAGCACCAGCCAGTAACTCCACCTCCTCTACTCCAAAGAATGAGTCATTCCTGTCCTCCTCCTTTTTTTCCCTCAAGATGTTAGAACATAGTTTGCTTTTCTTTCTGTTCTGTTACACCTGCTTCCAACCGTGGCTGCTTTTACACAGGTGAGCCCGGCCATACATAACTCCTTCCTTCCCCAACCTACATACTTCCAGCTACCACCCATACCTGTGGGTTGCTCCTAGACCTGTCACTAGCAAAATCCCGATATGAAGCATCTCATTTTATGTCCATCACTCTTTTTAATCTTTCTATTACAATAATACTTTGATCTCATTAGTCAATTCATTGATGTGCTTGTCTTTTCACTTTGGAACATGTTCTTCACTTGGTTTCTGGTACACCATTCTCTCCTCACCTCAGTTTCCCCCTCAAATCTGGAGTATGCCTTGCTCAGTCCTTGGCTTTCTCCTCCATATCAGCCATGTATTGGTATTCAGTTCTGTAGCTTTAAAGAACACTTGAATTTATAGCTTTCAAATTTACACTACAGCCCTGCCTGACTTCTCTTATAAGCCCAGTCTTTTAAATCTTTCTCAATATTTTCACTTGGATGTCTCATGGGAATCCCAAACTTACTATGGACTCTGAATTTCTCTCACAGTTTGTTCTATTCTCAGTCTTCATCGTCAGCATAGTTCTATGAAAGTGAGCTTTCCCTGTCATGAAGAGACTGGAAGTTGTGTATCCAATATCTATTCCCTTTTCATTTCCTAATGACATAATAATTAATTATTAGGGACAGAACTTACTAAGCTTAACAAACTACCTTTCAAAGCTGCCTTTGAACTAGGTATTGCCATGTGATTGAATTTTGGGCAAATTTTAGTGCATCTTTAGGGAAGGCTCCTTAAAAAGAAGACAAAACACCTGGGCAAATCACTTCGACCTTTCCTTGTTGGTGGAATGCAATAGTCTTGAACCACGAGGTGCCCTTGAGGTTAAAAATCAAGTAATAACTAAGTATAACAGGATGGTGAAGGGGCAGGATGGGTGGAAGGAGCCTGGGTTTTGAATGGTTGTGGAGTTGCCAGATTTTCCATGTCCTTTATAATGCTGGACTTACATTTGAGAGGAAAAATAAACTTCTGATTTAAGCGACTAGTAATCTGCATTTTCTGCTATATAGAGCTGTACCTATCCTGCCTGATAACAGTATCTATAACACAGTCTTATCCATTCCAGGAAGCAAAAGCCACAGATAACACCAAGGACTTGTGGTAGAACTACATTTTTAGAGCAAGTATTGCATATTCTAAGTCCCAATTTCTTTGAATGAGAGTTGGAATATTTCACTGCAACTAAGGGCAACAAATGATTGGCAGACTAGGTGACCTTACAGTGCTTTTGAGTCTTTGAAGTAATAGAAGTTTTCAAAACTCAGTTGCATGCCTAATTTAGGACTCCATGATTTATGGAGGACATTATTAGTTTCTCTGTTTTGTCATCTAATAAGATACTTCTTTCTCACCTTTAGTAAGATATACCTGTGTGATCATGATGATGATTCATTGATATAGAGTTTACAAAGTCCATAGCCCTGCACCTGGCAGGTGGGAGACACCTAATCAATACTGGTGCAGCCTTATCCTTTCATCCCTCTCTCACTTGGTAGGTTTGTCTTTTCCAGCCTCCTCCTTCAATTTATACCATATTTACTGATACTTTAGGGCTGAGTTCAAAGATCACTTTCTCCCCAAAATCTTTTCTCTTTCCTCCTGTCATCTGTCATTATCTTCTGACCACTTTACCACTTTTTTTTCCTAGTGCTTCAGTGATTGCTAGGTGTTATTTCTTCCCCTGGTCTGTAAGTTCCATGGGAGCAAACTGCCTGCTTTTAGTCTTATTTTCCCAAAGACCTAGCAGAGTAACTCACACATAGCATGTGCCTGAAAATAATGAACTGATTATGTATAGGGCAATTCTCTATATTTAGAAATCACCACTCTTTGGATATGGGGTGCTATATATACTACACCTTTCAATTTGATCCACTTAGGGAGGACAAAAAAGGATTCATTGCAAGTAGCTGACCTCATACAATGTCCAGAGAATTACTGGAAACAGTTATAAATAATGACTCATCATGTAAGTAATCACAATAAAGCCCTGCTCAAAGGCCAGTCACAACTTGAAAATGCTTAAATGAAGGAGAGTATTTCCCAAAGGCTACTAAGCCCACAGTTACTGCCCCAAACATCTTCCTCTTTATTACACTTCCTTAAATTGCACAGCATGGAAGGGGAATAAATCATAGTTATGAGCATTATGAGAGGGGAGGGCCCTTGAGAATCTGAAGAAGTCCTGCACAGCCTTCACTAGGTCTGAGGGTACTAAGCTGGCTTTGACTCTTTTTTGATGGAATCCCAGAATCAGGTTTAAGCCAAACTTGGCTTATCATGGAGGCAGCTGCCTAAGGATGTGATTTGAGGTGGTTGAAACCCTGTTCTCAAATATATATTTTACTGGTACCTGACAGGGATTGGTATGTCTTTGAAAAACTTCTTAATCTTTCAGAAGGTACTATTCCAGGTGAAGGATTAACCTTAACCAGCATTTCCACCACGTTCTGTAAGCAAAGAAGTCTTTGAAATCCTGCACACTCCAGTCCTCTTTCTGGTTTACTGCAGGCTGTAGTAATGTATGCCAGCATACGGAAGGCTCCAAGAAGTCATGTGGTTAAGAAATCTATTTAGCTCAACTCAGAAGCTCTCCCCCTTATTTAAAATCAGTTTGAAACCATTTTTTTCCTGGTTGTTGCAAAATTCCCATTGAAATCACAGGAAACTATTATTTCATGGAATACATTTTTTATCATGCTGCCTTGACTACTGTTACCTATCACCATAATCTGGATAAGTGGACACAATGGGATATACACAAAGGGATGGGAAAGTCAAGAAGGGCAAAGGACATTAAAGGTGACCCATCAGGGCCCCCAAACACAATTTGACAGTCTTGTTAAGGGCAGGTCTTGGTTCTCATTGCAGAAATTATTTTGACTTTGTTTTCCTATGTTGAAACCCAGTCATTATCAAGTGACATCAGATTGGAAGTACTATTGCTGCATCTTCATGTGCTCTTGAGCTTTCTGGTAGAGGCCGGAAGAGGAAGGGAGAGCCTGTAGAGCAATGTGTGCTCAGATGGATGTAAAAAGAGGAAGGAAACAGACTAAGGGGGAAAGGGGACATTGAGGTAACAAGGAGACAGAAGGCAATAAGAGTTAGGATGGAGGGCAGTGGGCAGATGATGTAAAGAGAAGCAGTGAAGATTTGACAGGTCAGGTAGAACCCAATAACACCTCCCCCACCAAAGTGAGGAATAAAATAACAATTAAGCCAGGAAGTCTTCCTTAATGATATGGGGTGCTTTTTCTATCTCCTGCCCTTGGGTCTCTCACTGCCCAAGGGGCTGCATTTCCCCTAGCTGTTGTTGATAGGGTCCAGTCTGAGATCCTAATAGAGGCCTTACAAATATCATAGTAGTTAAGTTAAAGCATAGGGACTGCCACAGGTTGGAACCCAGTGTGGTGCAGAAGCCAGGGTGAGGATTGGCTAAAGAGGAGCTTCTCCTTACCCAGATGGTCCTATCAGATGGTCCACTTCTCCCATGCTAAGCAACTAAGAGGTCCTTGGTGGGCTAAGACACCTTGGAAATACTGGAAGCTAAATGCAACACACTTGAGAATTTCTCTCTTATGTTGAAGGATAAAATGAGCTGATTTCCCTACCAGGATCCTTTTAATTTCTTGTCAGTGTCAGCATAAAAATCATGTAAAAACCCCAAATGATTTTGTATCTTACAACTATTATATATTACTCAAAAGTGGAGGTGTGAGTGGGGTAAAAAGCTCCCTTTTCAAGAATTCCAAATTTCAAATTGCCATTCCATGACAAATTTAATTCAGAAAAGTGATTCTGTCTCAGACAAGGTTGTATTCTGGGATAGTGCCTGGAATCCATTAATAAATTCATTTAAAGACAAACCTTTACTCAAGTGAAATAGTTCAAATGATATACCCAACCCCACAGAGTGGGATCCTCAAAGTAGACAGTTCTAGATTGCTAGCATGGTGGCACTGGCTCTCAGACAAATGCTCTCAGTCACCCAGGACTGTAGAACCTGAGGACAAGAGCCCATTACTATGTGCATCAGATTTGGGTCTCAAGCTGATTTTGGGTGCATGAGTTACTTCAGATCTCTCACTCTTTTTTAAACCAGAAACTCACCAGAACCTATATCCCTCTGAAATTAAAGGCATTGTAGGAGTGTATGGGATGGATGTAGTTATATATACTGTTATGAGCCTATGGGGAGTAATGCAAAGACATGGGTATTTATTGTGTTTACACTGTTGACACCATTTCTCTGAGTGTGTTATATGGTTGGTATGGTTTGGATTGCTTAGATGGGATAATATGGGCATTGCACATCTCCAATTCCAAATAAGCACAATGGCAAAAACTAGACAGAAATGCAGAAGGAATAACAAATTACACAATGTCACTGAGGTCATGCAAAGAAGAAAACAAAGAGATTTAAAATATGGGCAAGCAACAGACACCATAAATGAAGAAAAACAAAAGAAGAAACAAAAAGCCAATGCATACAATTCTAAAATCATTCTTACCTTCTTCAGTCATTGTGTCATAATATTTTAGTTTTCCATATGATCCAAGCTCTACAACATCACAGTAAAAGACACAAAGATAAGGAACGAGCTAGAATGCAAGAACGTTGTTTCTACACATTCTTAATTAATCAGATTCAGAGTTATACTGTCAAATTCAGCAATCGTAACTATATGGAGATGTGCAAACATGGGCATGTGGCAGACAGCTTTCACGGCCCATTTTCAGAAATCACTTAAAATACATTATTCTACCGAGGGTGGGATGTGCCCTGCATTACAGAATAGGACACAGTTATTTTAACATACAACGGAACAGAATATTTGGCAAAGATACTTCACCCCAGGCCTTGCCTAGCATTACAATTTTTTTTTAGAGTGATGTCACTCCAGGAGAAAGGACTGAGCAAGGACAAGTTCAGACCTATGGAGCACTGGGGACACTGTGATTCCTTGCCATAGGTCCCAGAATTTCATTTCACAGTTTTTCTCCAGCAGAACCATTTCCTAGAGAATAAGGAAGCTATTTGGGAAAATCGAAAATGAAGAACCAGGATTTAAACTTTCTTTTCACTGCTTATCTCATATTTTAAACAGGAAACACAGAGTACCAGGTGTACAGTGTGCTGCAAAGAGCTGGTAATGGTGCTAAGGGCTCAGCAAGTGAGAACGAGCCACATTCCCAAGGAAGATCACTGGGATCAGACAGGTGACAGAGCACAAAGTAGTATGGTGTGTGGGAGGACCAGAAGTTCCTCCTCTGAGTGCAGATGGCCCAGTGCAGCTGGCTGTGTTGGAAACCACTGGCAGACAGGGAGCTGCTTTGAGTCAGCTGATAGCATGGCAGCTGGGATAAGGGGTGTGGGGAGCAGTACGTGGTGGGAGAAAGGAGGTGGGGATACACCATTTCTTTATTCTTACTTCAGTTTTAAAATAGAAACTTTTATTCTTGTTCTTTTGAAAGCCCCAGATTGTTTTGAGCAACACTGTGAGAAGATTAAAAAAATATATATTTTTGGTCATAATGACGGTCTCCCAATAAACTTCAAGAAATTAATTAGACTCCAGAGATAGTCCTATGATTCTGAAAAATGCTTCCATGGCTCATTAATGTGGGCAGCTACTGGAAATCTACATATGAATCAACTTATAATTGATGGGTTTGTGTACAAGATAATAGATCTAGTTTAAAATGTAATAAGAAGCATTATTGTATAGTTATATCATACATTCTCTATATATCCTTTTCTACATGTTGAAAATTTTACCTAAAGCTGTTTTAATACTCCAGTACAAAATTATGCCTTGGGGTGAAACATGACCCAATCTTAATTTTTCTGTGAAAACCTCCCTATTCTGGCTTTTGTTAGATACATTACAAAAGATGCAGGTGCTTCAAGAAGAAATTGAATTTTGTGTAAATAAGAACATGTTTTCATGACTTCTGGGAATTGCCTTTGGTGGAATACATTTTTTTCTAGCATTTTAGGAACAGATGTCTATTTTATAAAGTTTAGACTTCTTACATGATCTAAATAGCTTCATAAATATTAAGCACATGTTCATAGTGGCTTCACACATAATGTATGTGTTTGTGCATGTAATCTTGCAGTAAAGTTGAATTACATCAGCCAACTAATTTTTTTGCTTCTCTTTCTTCCTTTGGAAAAGCAATGGAATAAGATGCTGGCATTCACTATTATTTATCCAGAAAACAGAACATCGTGACTCTGTGTTTGCAAAGTTGGCTGTAAACCATATTCTACACAGTAAAGCACACCATTGCATCTTAATGGACCCAACGTTTTAGATGCAAACCTCCCTGTATGCACACACCTGTTTTCATGTATCAATCCCAAATTGCCAGATATAAATAAATAAATACAACCATAGTGCTTAATTATGGCTTTATGTTTACATAGAAGTGGACTGCTCATGTCTGAGAAAGCTCACACATTCTTGCCACTATGGCAATATCTAGATCGTTTCTGACCTGCTTTCTTGGGTGATGAATGGGACAGAGGGACAAATACTGGGCACAACATACCAAGCATGAGGCTAACAGCGGTGGAACAAGAGCAGTGAAAAGCTGCAGAATGACAGGAGATATGTCCAGTCAAAGCACAAAGGAAGGAGGGAGTGGAAGGGAAAAGTATCTATCCAAGCAGAGAGAACCATATGTGCAGTTTACTAAAGGAAGGGCAGAACTGAATGGAGGAGGAAATCAGCTTGTTAGAATAGTCTTTACTGGCAGTCATAGGATTCTGATATGGTAAGCTAAGCAGTCATATCCAGAGGGAAGTAGGGCAACACCTCCAAGAGCCAGGCAGCCCTCTTCCCTGACCCAGAGCATTCGGAGGTGCAGGACAAGGAATGTGACATGCAACCAGAACCAACACAACATGCACGTGTAAGCCAGAGCTCATCACGAACCTGGCTGTTTCTCCACAACCCATGGATGTTGCATGGAAAGTGGCTTCAGCCACTGTCTGTTGAGATTCTGAGGCCAGGCCTAGCCTGGCTGAGAGGACCTGGGAGGCATGAATGAGAACTTACCTGCATAGGAAGTGCTTCCAATTGGCACACTCCACATAAGAAACACCCAGGGCACCCTCAACTTAATTGGATTAGGAGTCCAACTGGGCCTAATTCAAGCTGAATTTCCTTCCTTTCCTTCCTTCCTTCTTTCCTTCCTTCCTTCCTTCTGGGGTTGGGGTAGAGTACTGGTGTTTGAACTCGGGGCCTTACACTTGCTAGGCTGCTAGGCAGGTGCTCTACCTCTTGAGCCATGCCCCCAGCCCCAAGCTGAATTTCTTTAGTTTAGGAGGGAGAAGGTGAGGAAGTTCAAGAGGGTATTATTTAATCCTATCTAGCGCTGTTCACTACATCAACTGAGAAAGAGGCAGCCACAATTGGAAGAGTGATATGTTGCTTGGGTTATCATTCTGGGTAACACCTAGTGTTGTTTCTCTATGACATTTCTCCAAATGCCCCATGACCTTAGAAAAAGATTCCAGAACCCAGTGTTGGTGTTTGAGATGACCCTGTAATCTGATCATGGATGTTGTCCAGTATGGCAACTGGACTTGCTTTTTAGGCCATTTGGATAGCTGAGGACACAGGAATCTAAGCTCCTAGAACTCTAGGGAGACTTTCAAAATCCGTTCTCTAGCTCCCTGTCCACTTCCTTCCACTCTTGTCAACAATCCCTGGTTTAAAGGTACCTCTGGGTTCTTGTTCTCATTTCACAATTGGCAAAACCAAGGTAAGAGTCTTGTCTTCAGTCTTAAAGAATTGGTGAATAAGAATTAGTGGGGGTTTTTTTTTGGGGGGGTGGAGATGAAGGGTGAAAGAGAGGGTGAGGAGGGCAGAATAGGATCAAAGTACATTGCAGACATGAATGAAAAGTCATAATGAAACCCACTGAAAAATTGTAAGAAAGAGAAAAAAAGGGGTGGTTGTGGAGGAAGGAGGATGAGAAAGGGTAACAGAGGGCAAATATGAAAGTGTGGGATGATCACAATGAACCTTCCCACATTGCATATTTAATATGCGCTAATAAAAATGTGAAAAAAAAAGAATTAGTATTTTGGGTTCCCAACTTCCTTCTTTCTTGAGAAGTACATGGACACAAAATTCTTCTAACATTGCCTTTCTCAGCTTTAAATTTAAGGCCTTTGACATTCTCAATTCTTTCTCTCAATTCCCAGAAGTGGGAGAAAGCAGAAAAATGACTTTCACATTTGAGACCTCAAGAATCTCACGTATAAAATGGAAAGTCAATGGAAGGATCTACATGGAGTTCATTTTATTAGCATGAATACTAGTGGTAGGGAAATCAATGAGAGCAAGCACTTATTATTGAAGTGTTAGCTGATGGGAAAAATAATGATTGTTTATTTTTTCAAAAACTTAACACTTTATTGTGGATATTGGCTTGACCTCTAGGTGAAGATCTAAAAATTCAGGCTTTCTCAGTACAAAAAGTGGTTTCTTATTAAAGCTAATACATAGCAAGGAGGTATTTACCAATAGTGAATTGATCACACCCATGAAAGGCTCATTTTCAATAGTTTATGAAGTTAAGAATACAGGATTTGAAGTTACAGGGTATAGGTTTGGACCCAAGATCTGCCACTTATGGGATGTGTGACTTTGAGCAAGTTGCTTCACCTCTCTGAACCTTGGAGTCCTCGGCTGTAAAGGGTATGATAATTGCATCTACCCTATAAGATGGCACCGAAAGGCAGATAAGATAATGGCCCACACTAAGCAATCAGGATAGGAAGCTGTCATTATTGCAAGTACCACAAAGAAGAGTGAAGAAGAACTCAGGGGACACGGCGTTTATACAGGCTTGTTAAAACAAATTCAACATTACTTACACAGTTTTCAGGTCAGGATTTGTGGCTCAGAGACAAAAGATATTCCACCATTTTGGGGCCAGGATTTTTAGAAAGCTGCCTTTATTAATCCTGCTTGTCTACTTTCAGATCTGAGGGGAATAAAAACATGGACCATAAGCAGGGGAACACAAAGTGAAAAGCAGGCCGTTCATTCATCTGCTTGTCACTGTCCCAGCTTGGAATCCAGACTTTTTCCTTTCTAATATTTGCACGTGAGCCCATACGTCTGACTAGGTTGTGTATATGTTGGAAGAGAGACTCTGCTCCTCTTTAGATCTGTCTCAGCAGAACCCAGGACCAGGCTCTTCTTATACTGCATGCATCTCCTCACATTTCTTAAAAGTATACAAATGCATAGCTCCCAAATGACAGTGATGTTCTGAATACTCTGACGTGTTGAACTTTCCTGGACTTGCTGAAGTCAAGAAGGCAAGTACTGAGGTCTAAAGCTTTTCCACTGTGGTTACCCAACATTACCAGAAAGGTTACAGTGCTTCTAAGTGAGACAGACCAGGCAACTAGTTCCAAGCTTGGCTCTACTATGTATGAACTGTGTGATCCTCTCTGAGTCTCAGTGTTTTCTGTCAAATGAAGAAGTTCTCAGAAGGGTTTGGGAAGTGTGTGATGAGACATGTCTATAGAGCA